CCTCTGGCCCAGGAACGGGACCTCTCCTTTCTGCTTCCATTCTCTGTCCAAACCTTTCTTTTTTTCCTTTTGTTTTAAATATAAAATTCTGTCTGGAACCTTTGACTACAAACACAGAGCCTCGTTTCACAATTCTGTATTCATTGCCAATACATTTCTCTCTGTGTGTGCGTGCATGTGTGCATGCGTGCATGTCTCTGTGTGCATGTGCATGTATGCGGGGTGTGTATGAATCATCACTGTTGGGGACTGACATGCGGGTCTTTCTGAGCCAGTGCAGTTTCTGAGAACCTCCGTGTTCCTTCCAGGCCTTTCTCCAAGACTGTAGTGGAACAGCTGGGGCATCACCAATTCCTAGGCAATCCTGTAGTGGAAACAGCCAGTTTCCCTGGGTATACCCAGAGAAGCCTCCAAAAGGGGACTCCTGCGCTCTGAGCATGGCATGGAGCCAGGCAATCCTCAGTGTGAATCGTGGTTCTTTCCAGGGTAGCTAGGGGAGTTTGGGGAAACCCCACCTGCTTTGAACCTCACTGCATAGTGGTTAAAATGTTGCTAAGAGTACCCAGGGCCACCAGGAAAGGTGGGGCAGGTTGCTCACTGTCCTGGTGACAGCACTCACCTTGCAGTTTTTCAAGGACTCATGAAGAAATCCAATCAAGGGAGGGAGGAGATACTGTTCCTACACTGGATAAACACCCAAGCCTGAGCTGACTGGGGCAGTGCAGGCTGGAGCCCGGAAAGAGTTTCTTCCTTTTCCTGCTCCTCTGATTCTGCCTCTCCTTGTGTCCCACCCTCTCCACTAGTGCCAGTGCACAGCCTTTTTGAGCTGAGGAGCTCACCTGGACTCCTCCTACAAAGCCGATCCTGACATTTGATACCAGCATCTATTCCACAGTCTGGCTTCTGATCTCAGGACAGCTCTCCACTTTGCCCACAAATAATCCTCTGGCCCTTCCACCTACTTTCCTTTGTGATCTTGTACCTGGTCCCAGCCCTTGTCTCCTAATGGCCACCTCGCCTGTTTCCCTCCGCCAACCACACCACAGGGGTTGATGGAGTGACCTACCCAGGCTGCCTCCTCCAGCCCCTTCCCACCCCGGATTCACACCATTGCAGAGTCACCGAGTTCATTGTCTCCCTCTGTTCTTGGGGTTTAAAGCGCCTTTTGTTTAACTGTTAGAGGAATGTGTTAAGTGACAGTTCTCGGAATACAATTTTAATTAAGATTCAATAGTCACTTCTCTGTCAGTAATCTCTTCCATGCTGATTACTTAAAATATATTTACCCGGCTCTATTATGTCACAGATTTGAATTCATTAGACATTTGTTAATCCCTCAAAAAACTTTTTTTTTCTTTTTTAAAAGTGTGGTTGTTTAGCATCATTTACAAAGACGGAGCTGTTTGAAGTAATAGGCCCTGGGCTCCAGCTCGGGCTCCAGGGGCTGCATCCCAAAGTGGCCTTCCTGCCCTGCTTGCTGCCACCTCCTCTGCCAGCTCCTGAGAGCCAGCAACAGAGCCACAGGATGCAGCAGGCAGACATCACATGACCCTGGGGTAGTCCATATGGGTCACCTGCCCAGGACACAGAATAGCTGGGGAGGAAAGGGGATCCCAAGGGACAAACAGATATCTGACAAATATTATCTTTTTTTGTTGTTATTGTTATCAGGGATTGAACTCATTAGCACTCGACCCCTGAGCCACATCCCCAACCCTATTTTGTATTTTATTTAGAGACAGGGTCTTCCTGAATTGCTTAGTGTCTCTCATTTGCCGAGGCTGGCTTTGAACTTGAGACCCTCCTGCCTCAGCCTCCCAAGTGGCTGGGATTACAGGCGTACACCACTGTGACTGACAAATATTATCACATCTGAGGTATGCCACGGTGTTCCAATATCGGACAGCGTCACTTGGCCTTAGAACACCGCAGCAATCACTCACAAGGGCTCATGAGGAAGACAGCCTTCCTCATGGGGCCACAGAGCACACACATGTTAGCCAGGGACTCCCTGGGTTCTGGCTGTCCCTGACCCCCAAGGAGTATGGGGGTACCTCTCAATACAGTCAGGCAGCCATGGCAGGCAAAGGAATGTCACCTCCTTCACACTGCATCATGGGGTCCAATAGCTGGAAAGCCTGAGAGGACTCAAGGCACAGGGAGAAGACTCTGGTTGCTCAATCAGGCCACAGCTGAGCAGGGACCCAGAAGGCCGGAACACGTGTGAGCACAGCACAGGGTAGCAGGTGGGAAGCTACCATCTCTCCACATGGGGGGATAGATGTACTTACATGGCAGGACGTGGGGCGGGGTGGGTATGCCCACCTCAGGCAGGAGCTTGGTGAGAATAGGTGCTGGGGGGCGGGGCAGCTGCCCATGGGGAGCCCAGAGCAGAACTGGGTGGAATTAGGCATTTGGTAAATACTTTCAAACAGAGTCCTCACAATAAAGAAGATGAAAAGAAATTAAAGTCCTCTAGAACAGAGGTCAGAAAACATTTTATATGAGGACAAGTAGTAAGTATTTTCAGCTTTGCTGGCTACATGCTATCTGCTGCAACTACTCTCCTCTGCCACGGTGGCAGGAAAGAAGCCCTAGACGGTAGGCAAATGAATGAGAGTGGCTGTGTTCCAATAAAACTTTATTTACACAAACAGGTGGCAGGAGAGATTCGGCCTCTGAGCTACAGTTCCCATCACTGTCCTTTATGGAAACCAAAGTCCATCTGTGGTGGACAAGCTTTTTTTGACATGTGCACTAAGTATAAAATATACACCCGATTTTGAAGATTTCATACAAATAAAAGAATGTTCAACGCCTCATTAATAATTGTTTTGACGGTATACTCAGACAGGATTTTGGATATAGTGAAATAAAATATGTTATCAAAATTAATCTCACCCATTTCTTTTTTAGGTTTTTAAAAAATATAGCCGCTAGAAAATTTACAGTTACATTTCTGGCTCACACTGTATATCTGCTTGACAGGGCTGTTTTTAGAGTACCACTGTCTCCTGCTGAAATGAAGGGTAAATCACTGGCCCTTGCAGGGTCTCAGGTGGGGATTTACCCTTCAACAGGCTGCATAATGGAATTCGAATCTACATGATAAAGATTCTGATTGGAATAGTGTTTTAAATTACTAGAGTATACATCCCTTTTTTAAAACTGCCAGTTTTTTGTGTGCAGCAATGGTCTTCACATTGGGACCTCTGGAAGTCTACTTCCTCAGGATGTTAATAACTGTTGCTCACGAGGGGATATCTTTATGGGTTTAAAAAATGGGAGTGAAGTGGAATTAAACGTTAACCACTGTCTGACTGACACAGTCTCCCTCAACTCTTCTGAACTGGTGAAATGTGTGTAGAGCTTCTGCAAGAACAAAGGAGGAGGCAGCACTTCCCCCAACTTATTGGTCTCAGAAGCCAGTTTTGCAGAATCCTAATTAGCACTCCTAGAAGGCAATTTGAGAAACGCTGGTCTTCAAGATGCTGCACAAGAATGTGCATGATTTTCCCAGAGTCCGACTCAATTGGTTGTTTTTAGTGCCACACAAATAAGGTTCAGAAAGTTGCTATCACATGGACGACTGAGAAAACTGTAGGATTAGGAGGCACAGAGGCTGCAGCCAATGGCTGTTCCACTCTGCCTTAGAGAGTAGATTCATGCAAAAAAAAAGTACCTACTAAGTACCAGTGGTGCACACAGTGGTGAGTAAAAAAAGAGCCCCTTCTCCTGGGGGCTTTGTCACCAGCATGGAGGACAAACAATAAACCAGACAAGTAGGTGAAATATCAAGTAAAGTAGACCATGGCAGGTTCCAGAGAGGAAAGAACCAGCAGGGGAGGGGGCACACTGAGTCGGGGACCGCAGGGGAGGGTGGTCAGGAAGCCAAAACGATTTTTGAATAAAGACCCCAGGAGACCCTGTGGCCACCGATAGTCCTGGCCTGCATGCATGGGCAATCCCTTCCTTGTAAAGGGAGTCCAAATACGTGAGGGGCCACACAGAGGACCCTGCAGGAAGGAAGTGCTCAGAAGTTGGTTCCTTTGCCTCCCTTCCTACATCTCTCTTCACTTTCCCCAACTCTCAAAGACCTGTGAACTATGTGGATTCCCCTTGGTGAAGATATTATCCAGTGCCACTTCCCTACCCACCCTGGTGCTCTCAGGGACAACTCTTCTCGTTCTCATCTTTATCCTCTCCTCCTCCTCCTCCTCCTTCTCCTCTTCCTCCTAGCCTCCTCCTCTTCCTTTTTCTCCTTCTCCTTATTCTTCTCCATACCACAGATTGAACCTAGGAGGGCTCTATCACCGAGCTACATCCCCACCCTTTTCAAATTTTATTTTGAACAAGTTCTTGCTAACTTAACCAGGCTGGACTGGAACTTGCAATGTTTCCTACCTTAGCCTCCAAAGAAGCTAGAATTACGGGCATGTTCCATGTTCTTATTAAGTTCCATGTCCTTATGCTTAAAAAATGCTAGCCTAATTTTATTTCATGTTAAGTCTAAACCAACTAAGCAGATAACACTGTACTTCAAAACACAGCTATAATACACCTTCAAACTCAACTACCATTGGATGAACCATTGATATGGTATCATCCATCCATCCATCTATCCACCTACTCATCCATCCATCCACCTACTCATCTATCCATCTATCCAACACATATTTATTGAGCACCAACTGTGTTCCAGGCACTGTGCTAGATGCTTGGGATATAGCAATTCATGGAGCGTGGAGCTGGAGTTCTAGCAGTGGGTATAGGAAACAATCAATAAGCACAATAAATGAGCAAATTAAATAGGATGTTAGAAGATGGTAAGAACCAAGGAAAGAAGAAAACTAAGACCTGGGTTAGTGGGACTCAATGAGAAGGCAGGAGAGCTCGCCTGGGCACGGCCAGCCTCTGCCTCTCCCTGAGGCAGTGGGTTGGTGGAGGGAGGACATTAGGAAGTCACCTTCTGACCTTAACCTTCTGTGCCTCCCTTTCAGGCTCCAAGGCCGAGTGACCAGACCATGGAGACCCTGCTTGGTGGGCTGCTGGCGTTTGGCATGGCGTTTGCCGTGGTCGATGCCTGCCCCAAGTACTGTGTCTGCCAGAACCTGTCTGAGTCACTGGGGACCCTGTGCCCCTCCAAGGGGCTGCTCTTCGTGCCCCCCGACATCGACCGGAGGACAGTGGAGCTGCGCCTGGGCGGCAACTTCATCATCCACATCGGCCGCCAGGACTTCGCCAACATGACGGGGCTGGTGGACCTGACTCTGTCCAGGAACACCATCAGCCACATCCAGCCCTTCTCCTTCCTGGACCTGGAGAGCCTCCGCTCCCTGCACCTGGACAGCAACCGGCTGCCCAGCCTGGGAGAGGACACCCTCCGGGGCCTGGTCAACCTGCAGCACCTCATCGTCAACAACAACCAGCTGGGTGGCATCGCAGATGACGCCTTCGAGGACTTCCTGCTGACGCTGGAGGACCTGGACCTCTCCTACAACAATCTGCAGGGCCTGCCCTGGGACTCCGTGCGGCGCATGGTCAACCTCCACCAGCTGAGCCTGGACCACAACCTGCTGGACCACATCGCCGAGGGCACCTTTGCCGACCTGCAGAAACTGGCCCGCCTGGACCTCACCTCCAACAGGCTGCAGAAGCTGCCCCCAGATCCCATCTTTGCCCGCTCCCAGGCTTCTGTTCTGACCGCCACGCCCTTTGCCCCGCCCTTGTCCTTTAGTTTCGGGGGGAACCCGCTGCACTGCAATTGCGAGCTGCTTTGGCTGCGGAGGCTCGAGAGGGACGATGACCTGGAGACCTGTGGCTCCCCGGGGGCCCTCAAGGGGCGCTACTTCTGGCACGTGCGTGAGGAGGAGTTTGTGTGTGAGCCGCCTCTCATCACACAGCACACACACAAGCTGCTGGTCCTGGAGGGCCAGGCGGCCACGCTCAAGTGCAAGGCCATCGGGGACCCCAGCCCCCTGATCCACTGGGTAGCCCCCGATGACCGGCTGGTGGGCAATTCCTCAAGGACCGCTGTATATGACAACGGCACCCTGGACATCCTCATCACCACGTCTCAGGACAGCGGCGCCTTCACCTGCATTGCCGCCAACGCTGCGGGGGAGGCCACGGCCACCGTGGAGGTTTCCATTGTCCAGCTGCCACACCTCAGCAACAGCACCAGCCGCACGGCGCCCCCCAAGTCCCGCCTCTCGGACATCACGGGCTCCAGCAAGACCGGCCGAGGTGGTGGAGGCAGCGGGGGCGGGGAGCCTTCTAAAAGCACCCCCGAGAGGGCTGTGCTGGTGTCCGATGTGACCACCACCTCGGCCCTGATCAAGTGGTCGGTCAGCAAGTCGGCGCCGCGGGTGAAGATGTACCAGCTACAGTACAACTGCTCCGACGATGAGGTACTGATCTACAGGTGAGCGAGTGGCTGTGGCAGAGGCAGGGGCTGCATCTGGCGGGAAGGAGGAGGGGGCCACCAGGGTTTTGAGCTGTTGCCACCTGTACCCCTTTCCCCTGGGTGCCTGTGGGACTCACCGTGCCATTTATGCAAGTAAAAGGAGATAGATTGCTACAAATCTAAGAAAAGGACCTGTACAGGGTATGTGTACAGCAGGACCTTGCCCTTCAGGTGCGTGGCTGTGGTGGCTGGCACTTGGTCTGGAGCCTCTGAACATTCTGCTAGGAGCCCAGCTGGGGGATCCTACAAGAGCAATGAGGAGACCTCTTGGTGGAAAGAGGTCCAAGGAGGAAGGCACTTGGCCTTCGCCTTGGTTTCTGTGCAATTGTGGTAAAAGCTTTTGAGGTCAGAAAGAATGGGATTCATGTCATGGCTCTTCCACTTGCTAGTCATTTGATTATTCTGGTCTATTTCAGTTTCCTCATCTGTAAATGGATATAATCTATGCTGACTTAATATGTACATCTGGTGGCAGAGAGTTACATCAGACTGGCTAAAGAAAATAGAGGGTGGGGGGGGGAGAGAAGGAAAAGGGCAGCACGGTGATGTGCTGACTCATGTGATTGGAAAGTCAGGATCCCATTTCAGGCTTAGCTGGGTAGAGGTCCCCACAAACGCCCTGCCTTTGTTTCTGACCTCCCCTCCGTTCTGTTTCCCTCTGGACTGCCTCCACCCTCAGGCAGCCTTTCTCCTTTGGAAGACCTCTGCAGGTCTTCTAAGCCACCCTAGAGGGAGAAGAGCATCCCTTTCTGGGTTGTGCTCTGCTGTGTGGGGCCAGGGTCTTAGAGGAGGTTCCTCCTGCCATCTGTGCTGTCCCCACTGGGCTCCATTCTGCTAATGGAGGTGGTGACAATGATGTTGACCTTGCAGACTTACTGTGAAGGTCAAGGGGATCATTTCCTAAGCCTGGTAGAAAGAGAGGAGCAGAAAGCTGCAGTAGCTGCTTAACTTACTTGCAGAGGGACACACAGAGGCCTAGGGGCCCGGATGGCTGACCACAGACAAGCTCTGTTCCTGGGCAGGCCTCAGTTTCTATGAAGGACATGGCCTCCAGTCTCCCTACCCAAGAGAGGCAAGTGTCCTTTGAAATCCCATGTTTCATTTTACACATTCTGGTTTGAGAAGGGAGCCCATCGGCTCCACCAGACAGCCAGAGTCCCCGGGACAAGAATCCTGGATCCATCACTGAGGACTTTGTGATTGGCCTAGTCTCTGGATGGGAAGTGGTAGGAGAAGAGAGCTCAAGAGGGAGAACAGGTACATGTGATTGGGGTGGGAATCAGAGTGGGGCTAGGGAACTCCCCCTCTCTACATCTGCAGGACTGCTCTGCAGTTTCATATCTCAGAATGGAAAGGAAGCAGTGTTAGATTTGAACTCCAACATATGCATATACATACATATATCAAAATATATAGAGATATATCATTCAACTTAAGAATACATGTATTTTTCTACTTATAAAAGCCATAGTCTTCGTAGAAAATTTAGAAAGAAAAGAAAAATTATAAAGAGAGAAATAAAAATGACTTGCAGTCTCATTATCCAAATGTAACCAGAAGCATTTGGAAAGTGCCTTCCGTTTTACATCAGTTCTAAATGATATTTATGGTCAATCTAGTATATGCTATTATATCTTAATTCTTTCCACTCAACATTACAGCTGGCTTAGTTCCCATGATATGAACATATTTTTCATTTCTCTGGACCATAATTTATTTAACCAATCTCCAATCCTTGGACATCCAGGTTGTTTCCCATTTTTCCATATTAAAAGTAGCACAAGGATGGATATTTTCGTACATAACTCTGTTGCTGCAACTTCAGTGATTGCCTTAACCTATTTTCCTAGAGTCGAATGATGGATTTAACAAGTCAATTTCCATCTTTGCACGTACATGTGAGCGCTTTCCTACCCTTCCCTGGTGGTGGGTGACAGCGCCCCTACTTGACCACACCTTTGCTGATATTGAGTACACAATGCCTTTTATCTTTGCCAATTCCAGAGATGAAAAATGGAACTTGTTTTAATTTACATTCTTTGATAACTTGGGAGGCTGACCTTTTGAAAATAAGTCTATTTCTTCCCTGGTGAATTTATTATATGGTCTTGACTTTGATAAAAAGCATGAAGGGAACGAGCCACCAGCTCTGTGGCTGGCCCTGGTGCGGGGGGTGGGAAACACAGCTGAAGATTGCAGAGAAGACGTGGGCATCTAGGCAGCGGCCCACCCATGTCACCAAAGTGATGTCTCAAAAATACCCCGGGGGCTGGGGGAAGGCAGGGGAGGGCTTCAGGTAGTCTTCCTGGAAGAGGAAGTTTCGATATACAATTCAGTCTTATCTTTAAGAAGACAGACTTCCAGAATTTGGGAGAAAAAATATTAAACGTGGGTCTAGAGCCAAATAATAGTGAGAGACTCTCTAGCCAGCATGTTTGCAGGCTTACTGTGTGTTTGATGCTCTCAGCTTTGTAGGCACTATCTCATTTAATCCTCCTGCACACACACCAAGAAGCATAAAAGGTCAAGAGAATTTGACAAAACTCTTCCAAGGTCACTCAGCCAGAAAGAGGCAGGGCTGTTGCTAGAGTTTAGATGTGTGTCCCTCAGAGGTCTGTCTATAAAGGCCTGGTCCTGTCCCTGGTGGTATCAGAAGGTGCGGTGGGCCTTTAAGAGGTGGGGCCTCATGGGACATCCTTAGGTCTTAGTGCCCCAGAAAGGATTGTGGGGCCCCCAGAGTCTTCCTTTCTCCCTCTGAGGGATTTGCTCCCACCTGGCTTCCTGTCCTTTGGTTCTGGGCCTCTGATAAGGCCACCAGATGCCAGTGACTTGAATCTCCAGAACCATGAGCCAAATACACCTTTTCTCTGTATTGAGCTAATTGCTTCAGCTATTCCTTTATGGAAACACGAAACAGAACCATAAACCATATGTGTACCCTGGCCCCTACCTTCAACGGCCAGCTCAACCACTGTGGTCACTGTCCTCATGGGACCACGGCTAGCAGACTTTAAGCAAGAAACTGGGTTTTTAGAAAATGAATCATCCCCATGAGGAAACAAACAAACACACAAACAAACAACAAACCAGATGTCAGCGGCTGCATGGACTCTCTACCAGGCTTAGGTTTTAACCAGAAGATGGACCAAAGGATGAAGGAAAGTCCTGATCGGAAGGTGAATATTAAAGCCAGACCCAAAGCAGCCCCAAAGCAGCCCCAAAGGGCGTTTTAGTCTGTCTTCATAGCAGGAAGAAATAATGCTGGTCAGGAAAGAGGTTGCAAGGCACAGATAGAGGCAAACATGGGCACCTTCCACTGGACTCCATCTCCCCCCGCAAGGAGAAGGGCACAGTGGGGTGGCGCAGGCTGCCCAGAGGGAGGCCTTGCCATTGCTGTTCCCAGAGCTTTAATGCACAAAATGGGCTCTGGTTCCCGAGGAACCCCAGGGGGTAAAACCCATTACTCTGCTTTTACAAGAACCCTGCCCAAGGTGTTCCTCTGCAGGTAAGTAGCAGAGACAGAATCCAGATGCCGGCAGTCTGTGCTTGCCCAGAGCCTGGTCCAGGAGGGATGAGACCCGTACCATGGAGAGGGATGTCCAAGTTGCAGACATGCCTCGGAATGTCAAAGACGAGTTCCCGGGCTCCTAGGCCGCGTTCCAGGACTGGAAGAACACAGAGGCGACAGGTGCAAGCCTTGGCGGTGACTTTGAGATAGACAGGAAGAAAGACATTCTGGTTTTCAAAGAATAAACCCAATAAAGCTTACGGTGCAAGACTGGACATGAAGTCCCTAGAAAATTCTAGAAAGACTTTTTTATTAGCTGGCGGTGAATCCTTGACAAAGACTGCTGAGCCCATATGGGTTCACAAAGGACAGATCTTGCCCAATTATTGAACCCACGTCTTCAGGAGACGCAGTGGGCTAGTAGTTCTCCACCCGGTCATCCCTTGTTATGTGCCCCCTTGACAGTCCTGAGGACAGTGCCCCTGGTGGACATTCTCCCTACACAGGGCTCTCCACTGTACCCACCTGGTGCTCCACCTCTGGGGTGACCGGTGAACCGGGCAAACACCTCAGGGTTTCCACTGGACGAGTCACTACCACAAACAGCGTATTACAACTGGGTGGGATGTTGGCAAAGCCCCCTGCTGTCCCGAGGACAAAATGGAGAAACTTGACCTCCTGAAGGGGACAGCAACTGGTCAGACCCCCACACTGACTCAGAAGTTGATGTGAACAAGTCGAAGGCCGTGGACTTGCACCCCAGCGGCTGTCCCCATTTCTGTGCTGCTCAGTGTCTTGTTGCTGGAACGGATATCTGCAGAGAAAATGTGTTTAGAAAACTGTCATGGCTACCAGTCTATCATCAATCTGTCTGTCTGTCTAACTATCCATCTGTCTACCCACCTGCCTATTTTGGTTCAGGGACTCGATTGCAATTGCCCATCTCAAGGTGAGGAGGCCCTGCCTTGCTGGGCTTCCAGGTGCCTAGGCTCAGAGTTGTACCTGCTCTGGAGAATCCCACAGTCACCATTGCTGGGGGCGGTGCAACGCACCCCTAGTCCTCAGCTGTGTTAGCAGGAGTCCGCTAACAGACCGTGCCTAGGAGGTTAATGGCTGTCCTGAGTCGTTCAGACCCCCGCCACAGTGGGGCCGTGAGAGGGTGAATTCGGGACGGCCCAGATTTAGGGGTCACGTACACACATTGCCATGCCTTCAGAGGCTGTGCATGAATGGGATCCTGGAGGCTCATGGCAGACAGGGTGAAGGTGACCTTGGAGATGAGAGGACGCAGGAAAGAAATCCTGGGTCCTTTAATGTATTTGAAGAACTTACGGGTGGAGAAGAGAAACACACACACACTCTCTCTCTCTCACACGCACACACGCACGTACGCACACAGCACACAGGCACGTTCGCACACAGGACAATAGGCATTAGCCCATTACAAGAA